AGCCCCAGCCCCCAAAAAACTAATTTATTCACTTGTGACCACTTAATTTTTCTTTCGAGCAACTGTCAAGCAGCTAAATCCTTGCATTTCTCAAATGGCTCAAAGAAGACCCAATCCTTGATATATTTCACCAATTAAGTTCTTTATTGCCACCAGTAAATAAATCATCTTAAGGAAGAAGAAAGACAAACTCGGTTACAAAGGTAACAAACAAAAGATGTTCTGGTTGACAGAAGCTTTGCGATCACATAATCCTTGGAGTTTCCTTTTCTCTTAATTAGGTCAGCTTTTAATACCATAATCATTCTTTCTGCCTTTTCCTTTTCAATCCTGCTGCACCAGAGTCCCACTGCAGTTTAAGTGACCTACTTAATAAAAAGTTTGGAGTCCTCAGACAGAAAACTGGGTTGGTTCCTCTACTGCCAACTGCTATGCAATCTTGGCACATTCCCGAGCCTCTCAGAGCTGCAGTCTTCTTTTCTTTACAGAGAAGAGGTTAGATTCCTTTATGGCTGTAAGTATCTATGAATATTTTCTGAGACCCTATTCCACACAAAGCACTGTGCTTGAAATTAGGGTGGGAAGAGGTATAAGTATAAATCGATGTTGCTCCATCATCTCTTAGGGAAGAGAAGGCCCATACAGTACAAAACCAAATGCCACAGTTACTTTGTTTATCATCCCCATTCCTGATTCTCTATTCCATGATTGGAATTGTGCATGGCATATAGATGTTCAACTCAATGACATACACACCTTATGGGTGTTTAGAGAAGACAGGCTTCCATCTTAAGTCAAGAATGGTTCAAAGATTTCTAAAAGGTTGTTCAACTTTCACTCCTCCCCAACATTATCTTCTAATTGGAACCAAAATCATAAGCCAGTGTTCAAGTTTCTCCATGCTCTGGTTTCAATATATCCTTCAATCCTTTTCTTTTCCTTATATAGAACTATGCTGAAGCCAACCTCCTTGTTATACCTCAGCTCCTACTCTTCACTCCTTCCTCCATGCCCCATTTATGCTGTTCTTCGTAATGAAATGTCTTCCAATCCTAACATGGTCCAATTCCATTATCTCTCAGGGTAATTTCAAATTTCTCCATATCTGTATGGAGGGGTGTGTGTGTGTGTGTGTGTGTGTGTGAGAGAGAGAGAGAGAGAGAGAGAGAGAGAGAGAGAGAGAGAGAGAGAATAGATCATTTTTTAAATTTTGGTGCTGGAGATTAAACCCAGGCCCTCATGCATGCTCTACACAGAGATACACCCTCAATCCCTCTCCTAGTTTATGAAAGAGACCTTAGAAAGCGTTTCTTAATCCCTCCAATCATGTGCTCCCTCCTACCTCTGAAACCCCAAAAGATTTGTCGACATTTCTCTTGTGGTACATATAACGACTAACTCTGCAGTACATCTGGGCCATATCTTTGCCTCAAGAGAATAATCTTTAACATCAAAAATTATATTATCCACCTGCTTTGCCAAACAAATAAAGAATAGTCACTAGATTAGTCTGACAGGACAAATATAAAAGGACACTTTAGGATATAGAAAGTGGATAAACAATGGTACCAAGTTAGGAACATTTGTAACTTATGACTAAAATGGTGACTACTATCCCACTCTCAATAACCTCAAAAAATAAATAAATATATATATATGTATATAAACAAATTTAACCAAGGTTGTAAAGAAAGCCCTCTACAATGAAAACTATAGAATGCTGAAGAAAGAAATTGAAGACCTTGGAAGATGGAAAACCTCCTATGTTCTTGTATAGGTAGCATTAATATCATCAAAATGATCATACCAAAAGCAACATAGAGATTCAATACAATCCTCATCAAAACACCAATGACATTCTCCACAGAACTAGCAAAAACAGTCCTACAATTCATTTGGAAGAATAAAAGGCCCAGAATAGCCAAAGCAGTCCTTGGCAAGAAGAGCAATGTTGGAGGTATCACAACACTGGACTTCAAATTATACTTCAGAGCTGCAGTAACAAAAACAGCATGGTATTAGCACTAAAACAGATATGAAGGCCAAGAGAATAGAAAAGAAGATACAAAGACAAATCCATATAGATACAGGTATCTGACACTTAGCAAAGGTACTAAAAACATACATTGGAGAAGAGATAGCCTTTTGAACCAGTGGTGCTGGGGAAACTGAAGAAGAAGAATGAAACTTGACCTCTATTTCTCATCCTGCACAAAACTCAACTCAAAGTGGATCAAAGACCTGGGAATTAGTCCAAAAAACTCTGCAACATTGATGAAAGTGTAGTCCCAACACTCCAACTACGGCACAGACACTGACTTCTTAACAAGACTTCTAAAGTGCCCAGAAATAAAACTTAGAAAAAATAGTGGGATGGGATCAAATTAAAAAGCTTCTGCACAGCAATGCCTAGAGCAAACAGAATGGGAGCGGAGCAGATCTTTGCCACTGACTCCTCAGACGGGTATAATATCTAGCATGTTTAAAAAAACTACAAAAGCTTAAAATAAAAAAAAAAACAGCAATTATTAAATGGGCAAAAGAACTAAACATATACTTCTCAAAAGAAAAAATACAAATGGCCAACAAATATATGAAAAATGTTCAATATCTCTAGTAATCAGGGAAATGCAAATCAAAAGTACACTGAAGGGCTGGGAATATAGCGCAGTTGGTAGAGTGCTGGCCTCAAATGCRCAAGGCCCTAGGTTCAATCAATTTTTTGGTACCACCAAAACAAGTATATTGAGATTTCATCTCACTCCAATCAGAATGGCAATTATCAAGAATACAAATAATAACACATGCTGGTGAGGATGTGGGAGAAAAGCTACACTTATATATTGTTGGTGGGACTGCAAATTAGTACAACCACCCTAGAAACCAGTCTGGGGATTCTTCAAAAAACCTAGGAATGGAACTACCATATGACCCAGCTATCCCACTTCTTGCTATATATCATAAAGATATAAAATCAGCATACTACAGTGATACAGTCACATCAATGTTTATAATAGCACAATTCACATTAGCCAAGTTATGAAACCAGCCTAGATGCCTGTCAACAGAAGAATGGATGAACAAAATGTGGTATATAGATGCACAATGGAGTTTTACTCAGTCATAAAAAAGAACAAATAAACTGGAGAACATCGTGCTAAGTGAAATAAGCCTATCCCCCAAACCCAAAGGCTGAATGTTCTCTCTGATATGTGGATAYTAACAAAAAATAAGGGAGGTAGGGAGAAAAAAATAGAAGTTCACTGCATTAGGCAAAGGGGAATGAAGGAAAGGGAGGGGAGTGGGAATAGGAGAGACAGTAGAATGACTTGGACATAACTCTCCTATGTTCCTATATGAATAAATGACCAGTGTAACTCCACATCATGTACAACCACAAGAATGGGATCCTAATTAGAATGAATTGTACTCCATGTAKGTATAATATGTCAAAATACATTCTACTGTCATGTAKATCTGAAAAGAACAAATTTTCAAAAAGTGAAAAAAATAAGCTAGACACTGAAAGTCAAGGGTCAATTGTTTTTCTCATATGTGGAAGCTGGAAAAAGACGGGAGGTAAGAGGTTTCATGAAAATAGAAGAGAGATCAGGAGTAGATCAGTGGGATTGAGGGAGAAGGAAGAAGGATGTGAAAAAGAAAGACCAGTTAAATAAATAGAAGAAAGATCAGTAGAATCCTAGAAAGGGAGCAGGCAGAGGGAGGAAGAGAAGGAAAGGTGAAGTACTAGGGACTGACTTGGACAAATTAAATTCCATGTCTGTATAATTATGTCAGAAATAACCTCAAAATTATATATAACTGTAATGAACTAATAAAAAATCAAAATAACTAAAAAGGGCAAGGAGTATAGATCAGTGGTAGAATGCTCTTGGGTTCTATACCCAGAATTACAAAAAAAAAAAAAAAAAGGTGGATAAAATTATTACCTCCAGGCTATGTGTCTGACATATATCTCAAACATAAATAAATTTTGTTTAGATCTGGGTTTCATCTCCAGAATAATTATTATGTACATACAAATATTCCAAAATCCAAGAAAATACAAAATCTGAAACACTTCAGATAAGAGATACTTAGGCTGWACTTGGAATTTCTCTGGAAATTTTCATTTCCCTGAATGCTTACCTATAACAGAATACTGCTCTGTAGCCCTGACCAACCAGTGGGGCATACCTACCACCTAGTTTCTAATGAACCCATTTTCTGTTTTATTTAAGCCGTTGTTAGGCAGAACACTGAGAATAACAGTTCTACCTTTCCAGAGCCAGCAGCAGACACACACACACACACATATATATATATATATACATTCATACCCACTCTAAAACAGATTTCCTTTCATTGACTTCATAACTGAAGCAATTAGCTTCACATGCATTTAGCCAATTGGTCTCCCTGGCCCCACCTCTCATCACCAAGAAACTCTGCTGGTATCCTGCAAACTACATCTACTGGGGTTTGGTTGCCCTTCAATCCCAGCATGACAAATAAYCAGCCTCAAGAACTCTTGAAAGGTGACACTGAATAATCTTTTTATTTTTATTTCTGATTAATCTGATGTCAAATAAACGAAGAACACGATTCTYGGCTTAAGTACAATTAAAAATCTGTCACTGTAATCAAAACCTGGCTTTCATCACAAGTGACATTTTGAAGTCATGTCAGTGTATATGCAATACCCAATCCCCTGATAACAAATGTAATACACACAAAACTTAACTGTGAAAAGGTGAGAAACAAAAAAATCTCTCTTCTCCTCCATAAATACCAACTAGTCTGGACAAACACTTCTTTGCTGATCAGATTTCCTTGATGTTTAYATGTGCTAAATGCTCAGGCCTTCCACAGAGGAAACCAGGTGTACCCAAGTGTCTTCAAGGGGAACTCCACCCCCTCTTCCACAGGAAACATGCAGTAACTCAGTTTTGGAGTGAGGCAGCAGCAGGCAAAGGAAGAAAGACAGAAGCCCCACTTACCATAGAAGAGGAACGCTTTGGTCATGGGATGRTGCCAGTAAGTCCGGTTGATGGTGAAGAAACAGGCATCTGCTCCACACTGGCCCAGCCGTCCAGTTTCCCCGGTCAGTGGGGACCACCAGAGCATGATGGGGTAGCTGTCGATTTCCAGTTTTCTCTTCCTGATCAAGGACAGTGCGTCTTTCTGAAGGAATGGATTGAGATGTTCAGGCTCTTCCTCCAATTTTTTACGTCCATCTTGCAAATTGGAATTTTTAAACGTCTTCCTTTCAAATTTTCCTAGCTCAACCACGACCTAAGAATGAAGGCAATTATTACCAGAGTCACATGATTTAACTTTCAACAGCATATCTCACTTATCTTGATGATTTAGCCTCCTACTAGTTTTCTATTGTTGCTGTAACAAATTTGCATGAACTTAATAATTCAAAACAGCACACACTTATTATTACACAGTTCTGAAGGTCAGAAAYTTGAAATGAGACTCACTGGGCTAAAATCAAGGGGCCAGTAGGCCTTGATTCTTTTTTGGAGATTGGGAGAATCAGTTTCTTGCCTTTTCTCTCTCTTGGAGGCAGCCCACAGTTCTGGACTCAAGGCCGCCTTCCTGCTTCTTCAAAGCCAGCAGCACTGCAGACTGTGGCTCTTTTGACAATATTTCTCCGTCTAACGAGAGCCAGGAAAGACTGTACTCTTAATGATTCATGTGATTACACTGGGCCTCCATGGATGATTCAGGATCATCTCCTGTTTTAGTYGATATCAAGCTGCCTTACCAGAACACCTGAGATTGAGTAATTTACAAAGAATTGAGATGTATTTCTTACAGTTCTGGAGGCTAGRAAGTACAAAGTCAAGGGGTCCCTGAGCAGGAAAGGAAGACACACTTATGCTTTGATCCGGAACCCACACCAGGGACAATTAACTGACTTCCACCATAAGGCACGCATCTGCCCTAATGACCTAATCACCTCTTAAAGTTCCCACCTCTCAATCCTGTTGCATTGAGGACCAAGTTCCCAATGTGTGAACTCTGAGAGATATTCACAYCAAAGCATTTCCATATACCTCAAGGTATATCACATTAATCCCATATGCAAAGTATTTTTTGCCAGGTGAGTAACATATTCACAGGTTCCAAGCATATGGGGCATGAAAAGAGCCTCTAAAATAATAATTTTACTAAACACTTAGACCCATTTCCCTGCTATTTCATCAGCATATATAGCGTCTAGCACATTTAGTACCTTGAAAACTATAATAGGGTTTTTACCTGTCTACACTAATGATGACATTCCAGGGAAAAAGAGTTGTAAACTACCAGCGGATTACCTTTATTGCAATTAAAGAAGTCATAACATGAGAGTTACATTTTTAATAATACCTACTATTGCACTGACACCTTGAAGTATAACAGCAAAACTTCCTGGAATCTGCGTTATCAACACAGTAAACCATTAAGGACTGGATCTCCACTCCCTTCCACATAAAACCGAATTTTTACCTACATCAAGATAGTCTAAGTCAGAGTCACTGGACAGCCAGGCCATCARAAACAGTAATCTGGAGGTGGTGAGATTGAAACTGAGGACCAATTGTTCTCCAAAATTTTTCACATTTTAAGATTTAATGCTAATATGGCCCTACAAAAATATTATCAAAAGGGTTATTTTACAGTAATTTAAACATCAATGATCAGGCTAYCAAGCACATAAAGCAGTTAAAAGAAGGCACATTTACATTTTTCCTGCAGTCAGCCCTCTGTTTATGCAAGTTCCACATCTATAGARTCAACCAACTGTGGATCAAAAATATTCAAAGAAAAATTTGCATCTGTACTGAACATGTATAGACTTTTTTTTCCCTTGAATTATTCCCTAAACAATAAAGCATAACAACCATTCACATAATTTTTACACTGTGTTGGGTATTATAAACAATCTGAGGTGACTAAAGTATACAGAAGAAAATGTATGAGTTATATWCAAATAGCACACCATTTTAAATAAGGGATATGGGGATCTGCCAATTTTGGTATCCACAGAGGGTCCTGGAACCAATCTTCTGTGGAAACCATTGGATGACTACGTTAATTCCTCCACAGCCAGCCACAGAGGCATTTCCTGTGTGGCCATCAGGCCCCACCAGCCAAGGATGGTTTCTTTTTYATTTCCTTGTTACTCCTATCACGGGTCACTAATGCATGACGTGGAGTCTGCAAGTCTCTGGAAAGGGCCTATAAATTTCATTAGATTCTCAAAGGTATCTAAGGCCAACTAAAAGTAAGAATCACAAATTGAAAGTCAACCAACGAGCACTCCAAAAGGAGTAAGGAGTTCTATTAGCTTTTAAAAAATCATATGAGGGGCTGGGATTGTAGCTCAGTGGTAGAGCGCTTGCCTAGCATGTGTGAGGAATTGGGTTCAATCCTCAGCACCACATAAAAATGAATAAATAAAGGTATTGTGTCTATATACAACTAAAACTATTTTAAAAAATCATATGATACCAAAGTCCACATTAAAACAGCAAAACGATCCCTGAAAACTAAAGCCTAACCCTTGCCAATAGCTTTCTCAGCAATTTTGTAATCGAATAATGTAGCTCTTCCCCAGCAGCTTGATGGAACAGAATTGACTTATAACTCCACACTATCTTTTCATTTAACTTTCTTTTGCAAATGTACAACCAGTAACCTAAAAGAAAAAAACATGGCTTTTAAAAAGCCATGGGATAGGGCTAGGAATGTAGTTCAGCAGTAGTGCACTTACTTAGCATGTGCAAGAACATGGGTTCAATCCCCAGTATATGTGTATAAATATATATACATATATTTATATATTATTATTTGTATTATTATTTATGTATACATATGTACACACATGCACACACACATACACACACACACACACACATATATATATATATATATTTGTTTATAGTCAGGCCCAGATATCATTATCAGGTGATAGGAAATATGGGAGGACAGAAAAACATATTTAAAAAAGCTATAAGGATAAAAATCAGCCAGATCCATAATCTAGAACTCAAAAGGAAAGATAACCCAGTTTCTTCAACAAACCTGTGACATGGCATAAAATGTGGGATAAAAGAAATTTGCAAAAGAAAAACTACAAAGCACAAAACCTRAGATACACCAACCAAATGTAATATGTGAAATTTGTTTACTCCATATTCAAAACAATCTATTATTTTTAAACAAATTTTWAAAAATTGGGGGAGGGAATTTTAACATGCCTAGGATACAGAGGATATTAAGTAATTATTATTAATTTTATTCAATGAGAGAACAGTAATATGGATACATGAATGTTTGGGGGGGAGACAAGAAGGAAGACAAGCAAGTGTTTCCTCAAAGACAAGCAAGGAAGCAGTCAAGTGTTTCCTCTGTCCAGAATCCGAGTCTGGTTATAGAGTGTCTGCCAAAGCTTTCAAAATCTTTATCTCATTCTATGCTGATTAGGAGAAGTAGGATCTCGCAGAGTCAAAAAGCCCAAGGAACACCTATTTCCAGGGATTGAACTCAAGGGCACTCAACCACTGAGCCACGTCTCCAGCCCTATTTTKCATTTTATTTAGAGACAAGATCTCTCTGAGTTGCTTAGCACTTTGCCATTGCTGATGCTGGCTCTGAACTCGCAATCCTCCTATCTTAGCCTCCTGAGCTGTGATTACAAGCATGCGCCACCATCCCCAGCAATTATGTGAAATTTTTAAAAGTCCCTACCTTTTAATGATTAAAACCAACATATATCTAGGTGAAATACTATTATGTCTGAGATTTGCTTTAAAATATTTTAAATGCATTCATTTAGTTCTAAGCATCAAAAAGTAATATTCAAAAATTTACAAAATATAGTTAAACAAAAATGGATAACAATGTCTAAGATGAATGATTTCCTCCARAGAATGACAATGTTTTAGTTTAACTGTAGGTAAACCTAACATTTTAGAGTTTAGATTATTATTAGTTAAATAATATAGTTTATATATCTGTAATGGGCTGAATTGTGTACCCAACCATTCATATATTGAAGTCCTAAGCCTCAGTACCATAGAATATGACTAATATTTGTATATAGAGAAGWATATTTGGATACAGACAAGBACAGAGGAAGGACAAATGAAGACCCCCTCCTTTAAGTCAATGTGGCAGACTAAGAAGARACAACTCACCAATACTTTAGACTTGAATTCCCCAACCTCCAGAATTGTGAGAAAAGTAATTTCTCTTGTTGAAGCTAACCATCGTAAGGTACTTTATTATGACGTCCATGACATGACTGTGTTTGTTTATCCTTCCTTTACCCTATTCATGTAGCAAATTATTTCATCTGCCTACTCTCCAAACCAATAAAAACAGGAATGGTTCTGAATACATAGGCATTTTATAAAAGTATCCCATRTGCCAGGAAAGACTGAGGAATAACCCAAACCATGCTATTAGTGGCAAAACCCAAACTGATGCAGACTAAGGTTTAGCTCCAGTATTCATACCATTTCTGATGCTCCGGAACTGAGAGAGGACATGAACATCAAAAATATGGTGGCAATTTATTCTGACACCAAAAGGAAAACTCTTACCTTAGGTACTCCTCATAACTGAGAAAAGAGCCACAATAAGATCAAAGCTCTCTTATAACTTTCTGTAGAAAGGAGCAGAAAAACCCAGCCCCTCCTACAGAGCAGTTCCTAGAGACAAGCAAAGAAGACAAGCAAGTGTTTCCTCAAAGACAAGCAAGGAAGCAKTCAAGTGTTTCCTCTGTCCAGAATCYGAGTCTGGCTGTAGAGTGTCTGCCAAAGTGCTTTCAAAGTCTTTATCTCATTCTATGCTGATTAGGAGATGTAGGATCTCGCCGAGTCAAAAAGCCCAAGGAACACCTATTTCCATTGGTCCCATACCTGAAAGACTGACATCCACAGATAATCTGTCAAAGTCTCTTGAAGGCTCAAATGGACAGAATATATCTACACTGATAGCCATATTTTTACCATCACTGTACAATTTTTTATTTCAATTTTAAATCAGTGAAYAGAGTTTAGAATAACTGTAGGAAATAAATCAAATATGTCAAGAAATTTATTAATGCAGTTGTCTGTATTCTGCACTTACTTTAAGACACAGAATATCTTTCATATACTCTTTATAGAATAGTCCTTGCTTCTTCAAGAATGCCATCTTTCAGAAGTGATCAGGACCTATCATCCCAGCTACCAAAAAATGTGGGGCAGGAGGATCACAAGCTTGAGGCCAAACTGGGCAATTTAGTGAGGGCCTGTCTCAAAGTAAAATAAAAAGAGCTGGGATACAGCTCARTGGGAGAGCACTTCTAGCATGGGGGAGCCTCTAGGTTCAACCCCTAGTACCACACACACAMAAAAAGAAGAAGCCGATAGAAAACTTTGAGAAAGTTATTCAACTTCGACCCAATGAGACAGTCTGAACTTTGCCTAAAACCAGGACCATACAAGAAATCACACTCTGATCTCAATCTCCATGATTTTGTTTCTGCCTGACATTTCTGTTGGCTGTACCCATTCACTCAACCTCAACTCCACATGATTAAATTTAAAAAAAAAAAAAGTGTTTTTCCTGCCTTAGACAGTAGCAATCACCTGATCCTGAAAGATTAAGCAAAAAGTAACATACTTGGAATCCTGTGAGAACAGAGCTGGGGATATAGAGGAGATGGCAAAGGCTCAGTAATGAATGCACATTACACAACTCAAATTCCTGGTACCTGGAGTGTGACGAGCAGAAAGACAGTAGCTGTCATGCACAGGCAAGATGCCAAAACCTTCCTCCTCTGAATCCGCACCATGCTGCCCTGCCCTGGGTGACTGACAGAGGGCCAGCCCAGTTAACAGGTGTTCTCGCGGCAGCCCAGAGCCCGAGACAGCTTCACATGGAGGAACCATCTGGGTGCCAATTTCTTGCACTGCCATTCCTGCTGGGACCTGGTCTCCATGAAGGACTGAGATCTGAGGTTTTGAGCGAGCCTGGCTTGGCATCGAGAGCAAACAGCATGCAGTCTTCTTAAGCTATCATCAGAGCAGCTGGAGATTCTTCAGACCAGAAGACATCAAACAATTCTGTAACAGACAAATGGATAATCTTTTAGCCACAGTGCCCAAGATTTAATAATTGTAGTCTTACTGGTTTATCATGTACAAGCACTAATGTTTTAAACTAAAAGGAATCTTGGAGATCATGTAGTCCTAATACCTCATTCACAGACAGGGAAATGGAGACCAGAGTAGTGAAGTGGCTCACCTAAGGTCACCTAGCCCATTAGAACAGCATGTSAAGTCTACAATCAGGTCCCAAATCTAAAATTCTCTTTCACTTAATTTTCTCTGGCATAAGAGGACCGAATTCCAGAAGCCATTTATGTGAAGTTACTTCCTTATATTGAGGTTTCAAAGGAATAAAGAAGTAGAACAGAAAGTACCAGGACAAGAGGTTAGGAGTATAGCTCACTGGTAGAGCACTTGACTAGCCTACATGAGGCCCTGAGTTCAATCACTCTCTACCACTACAGAGTGGGGGAAAAAGGAAAGAAAGTACCAGGACTATGTACCCACTCTGGTTAAAAATTAGAAAAAAAAAATATATTGGTCAGGCTTCAATCAAAAATGAATAATAATTGACTAGGGTGTTGATCAGTGGTAAAGTGCTTGCCTGGCATGCAAGAGGTCCTGGGTTTAATCCCCAACACTGGACAAAGAAAATTTATAATGGATAATCATCAACTGCCSCAGTATACCCCAAGAAAACCAACTTCAGTGAAAACATAAAGAAACCTGATTATCAATTTATTTTGTTAATTCTTGTATGGCAAGTGTAATAAAACAGTATGCTGTTTGAGCAACATGACTCTGGGTTTCATCTATCTCAATGGATGATCTTTTTGAAAAGTTTTAAGAAGGAACTACATGGTTCCAAAAGATTGTCTCTTATTCCCAAGATTCCATGAGTTCCACGTCTTAGCAAATGGCCTTGTGCAGGGATCAGCTTGCAGAAGATGGGCAGTATTGCTTCACAGTGCTCCAAAGGCCTGACCCTAACTCAGAGCCACAGGTCTCTAGGAGAGAGTTAAAGATATGACTACAACTGTAAAAATGATACGGAACTCTGGTTAAAGACCTGGGTCTAAAAAAGTGAGCTCTTCTCTCATCTTGATTTACTTTTAAGCCCAGGATACTTTTCTTCCTCAATAACACAAAGACTCACTAAAAGTCCATTTTTCTTCTTTCATCCATGGGAATTCTCAAAATAGAGTAACTACGAAAACAGACTCTAGAGTCAGCCTGCAAGGATTCAAATCTCAACTCCCCAGCTGGCATAATGCAGGTGCACCATAAATTTAAATATTATTATGATTTTTATTAGATGGAAGTGAAGCTGAATTCTCAATGTCACTATCTCATCAGCTGGAACTTCTTAAGGAGATATGAACATGAAAAGGAGACTGCTCATGTTTATTGAACAACCTATTATGGGCAAGGCCTTTCCTAAGTATGTAGCATTTATAAGCCAAAAACAACTTCATGAAGTAGCAACTACTATCCTTAGTTTTGAAGGTGAGAATATTAAATTTGAAGGCAGCAAGGTAAATTGCTCAAGACAATAACTTCATAACTTTGATAAATACTACAACCAGAGAAGAGTCTGGCTTTTGAGTTCATGTGGTTTGGGGTTTTTTTTTTTGTTTGTTTGTTTGTTTTTTCTTTCTTTGTATTGTTTTGGTTTTTTTGTTTTGTTTTGTTTTGTTTTGTTTTGTTTGTACTGGGGATTCAACCCAGAGGCACTTAACCACAACCCTTTTTATTTTTTAATTTTGAGATAGTGTTTCACTAAGCCACATGGGGCCTTCCTAAGTTGCTGAGGCTGGTCTCAAACTTGAGATCCTCCTGTCTCAGCCTCCTGAGTCACTGGGATTACAGGCCTTTGCCACTGTACATGACTCTTTTCTATTTTTTTAACCATTAATACTAGATAATTCCTACCAGATAATGCTAACATTACAGCTATCTACCTGAACCACAGGAGGGAAAAAACAAATAAACAAACAAACAAAAAAAAAAACTACTTAGAATAGTTGTTGGCTAGTATATTAGAGAAAACAAAACAAAATCTACCAGGAACCTGTAAAGCTCCTTACCTTCTACTCAGTAGATGATAGTAGATATTAATTACATCAAATGTGAAGTTGGCTATTTGGGTTCTAATTCTGGTTCTATCACTTATACATAATATAATTTGGACAAGTTACTAAGCCTCAGTTTTTTAATAATAAACAATAAAAGTTAATTATCATTGTTTCTTTCCTTTGCATAACAGAAAAATTATCAAATTTTCTACTTAGGGGCTGGGGATGTGGCTCAAGCGGTAGCGCGCTCGCCTGGCATGCGTGCAGCCMGGGTTCGATCCTCAGCACCACATACAAAGAAAGATGTTGTGTCTGCCGAAAACTAAAAAATAAATATTAAAATTCTCTCTCTTTCTCTCTCTCTCTCTTAAAAAAAAAAATTCTACTTAGATGCAAAAGCAATTTATTATAATTAATGCACCCAGATTAGAAAGTAAAACAATATTATAAGCTTAAAAGGGAATAAAATTATATCACTCTCAAAAGTTTTAGGTCTGTCAGTCCACTCAATCTTATAACCACTTTGTAAGCTAGACAAGGAGGTATTGTATTCCCAGTTCCAGCAAATAAGTAAACTGATCTTCAGCAAGTTTAAGTGATTTGCCTGGATCATAGGTTTTGTTTTTGTTTTTGTTTTTTGGTTTTTATTTTGTTTTGTTTTTAAGGCAGAAGTGGGTCTAGAAATCAGGTCACTTGATTCCAAGATYAATGGAAAGGAAAGATATGGGAAAAACAATGAAAGTTTGTCATGAATACAAAACAAGTCAGGGACAAAGGAAAACAAAGAATGGAGAGAGAACTTGAGGACAGATTTGGGAATGTTTTTACAGCTACCAGATAGCTCATGTCAGTTGTGGGGTCTTTATAAGGCTRTATAAAGAAAATTCTGCAATGGAAGAATTTAAGGCTACAAATTCCCTTGCATCTGGAAAATCTCAACTTAGGTTATACTCCTGAAGCTAGAGTAGTGAGATCTCAGGGACCAAGCAGTGGTTAAATACCCACCACTAAAGAACAGATCCCAGTACTGTGATTTATAGTATGCAGCCATCAACCAAGTCTCAGGGTACATTTGTAGCAGTAACAATCAATCTAATATATCGTATTAATCACCCAAGGCCTATCATCAAGTCAGCAGTCTCCCAGCTTGTGTGACAGATGGGCTTTGCAGAGAGCATGATGAAGACCACCAATCTYCAACTCCATGGCACTCCAAGAGCAAAGTGCCCTTCTGCCTAGCATTGCCTGAAAAATAAACCTCAGAGTCTTCTAAGAGAATGCCCCAAAATATTTTTTTTCTGGTACAGAGCAATGTGTTTGTTCAATCACAGAACATCACATCTGAAATGGACTCTCACTAACCAACTCTCTTGACCCTAGAAGCTGAGCTTCTRTAATGTACTGCCCCGGGGCTGGCCATCTGCTGCCCAGAGTGGGGTTTGGAACTAAGGGCAACTGCCTCATGCTCCTGCAAGTGCTATTCCACCAAAACCAGCAGCACTGTCATCCTAAAATAGATCCAAATTTCCCACTTTGTTTTGAATTAAGAGAGACAGAAGAAAGACTGAGTATCTCAAAGAAAATTAGCAGTCTGAGTGTGCCAGCTCCAAATTCTGGCTGTGCAGGGCCAGAATTGGAACAAAGAAATGATTCTACCCTGTGCCTGAGACTGAAAAATGAGAAGCCAAGCCTAGTGATGCACTTGATACATGAGATTTCCAGCCCTGACAGCCTGTGTCCCTCTCTGCTCCCTCTCCCTATTGGCAGGAAAGAGGTGAGGCAGAAGGCAGGGAGCTCTGGGAAGCCTCCTCTGCTCAGTTCTTTCTCATGTAGCAACTGGAAGTCAATTGTTTTAATAAACAACCCTCTTAACTGAGATAAATAGAATACCAGGAAGGGCTTTCAGAGGGGATGCAACTAATTATCAAACTTAAATTATTCCTAATAAGTTATCATTACTCCAGTAAGTTTGACTCTCCCAGGAGGTGTTGTCACTCTATAACATAAATCTCCAGGACATCCCTTAAATGGTGGCTTAGAAAGAGATGAGACTGTAGACTGATGGGAAGATGTCTAAGGACCTGTATTAGTCTGATTTCCATTGCTGTGACAAAATACCTGAGAAAAACAATCTTAAAAGAGGAAATATTTATTTTGGCTCATGGTTTTAGAGACTTCGGTCCATGGTCAATTGGCTCCATTCCTGTGGGCCTGTGCAAAGCAGAACACCATGGCAGAAGGGTGTGGTAAAGCAAAGCTGCTCACCCCATAATAGCCAAGAAGCAGTAAGAGATAGAAAGATAGGAGCAGGAGCAAGATAWACCCTTCTAGGACATGCCTCCAGTGACCTACTTCCTCCAATTAGGCCACCACCTCCTACAGTTTCCATCATCTCTCAATAGTCCATTCAATTATGAATGCATTAATGGATTACTACATTGATAAGATCAGAGCCCTAATTCACTTCCCAAAAACCCCAAGTCTGAACATTGCTACACTATAGATCAATCCTTCAACATATGAGCCTTTGAGGTACGTTCTAAATATAAACCATAACAGGACTTTAGACCACTCTTCAGGCACATGCAATATCTCCTTTCAACTATCTCTCATTAACATTCCTCACTCATTACTACCTGGTTACTCCCAAGACCCAATAACCAATGTTCTTCCTAGTCTGACCTTCATGCACTCTCCATTCAGCTATAAAGAGATTAGGTATATCACCTCTGATTGACATCCTTCAGTGGCTTCCCAAAGATCTCAAGRTAAATATCAAACTCTGTAAGCTTAAAAGCTAGAGGATGTGCATCCCGCCCTACACCTCTTGCTTCTTTTCCTGATGTCCTCCTCACACATTCTGCCCCAGCTATTCCTAGAATGCAGAGCTTCCTCTTCTGTGCCCTCTCTAGAGTGCCTGAACTTCCTTCACTTTTCCAGCCATTCCCCAAGACTCTCAAGGTTACCTAAAATGGGATATACCCCTCCCAAGACCAAGTCAGCTTATAGATCCATATCATCCTATGCATTATTTCTATCACAACAATGGAGAGAAAGCAGGAAGCTGGAAGATTTTAGGAAACTTTCTAAAGCTGCTTCATTGGATGCATAAAAAACAATTGTGACATAAAACAGTTGGTCTATTGTTTAATTTGAAGACTTCTTTAATACCTGTCACTGTCCCTAGAGCATCTAATGACCACAATGTAATGATTCCAATTTTGACTTTTACCCAATTTTATCAACATTTATTCCCATGGTTGTTAATGGACTTCTGATCTTGCTAGGCAATTATTTATATATAAAGAAGGCTGAGGGTTAAAGATTTCTACTTGGGAAGGTTATCTTATGCAACCAAGCACAMATTTCAGACCAGACTAAGAGAGACTAGGAAGGGAGAAAGGAGCACTGGCAGCCTTGTGAATCAAGATGGACTATTAAAGGGGTGGGGAGGTGTCCGGGCATGCCCTTAGATTCCAGATACACACTTCAGTGTTAATCATACAGCCTCCACTGATATAAAGCCCCAGTTAAAAAGCACAGTTAAAAGGGGTGATTGGGGCACAAGACTGAAGCTTTTATGTCACAATAAGAACTAAGGTGACTCCTCAAGAAGCAAGGAGGCATCATCTTTGATTTGTTTATTTAGGGTCTCACAAAGTGACCCAGGCTGGCCTTGAACTTGCAATYCCCCAAGGCAAGAATTCTTCATCTTTGTTTTTCCTATAAGGTCTTCTTAGTAACTATTCATTCTTTAAAAAGAACTTATAGATTTTTTTGTGTGTGTGTGACAATTTTCCTACTTGGCAGATATGAAGAAAAATAGCTCATCTACTTTTAGCAATTTACATAATCATGAAKGAGGAGCTGGTTAAATAACATTAACCATGTTATTTAACATGGTTACATTTCACAATAAACAATAGCTGTACCAGGCAATCTTCTGAAGTTTCCTGCCAAAAACAAGTTCTYTATTCCCATGAATAGTGTCCAGGTGCAAAAATTCTCCAGAGAAGAAAGTTTAAGTTAGTAAAATGATAATCATCAAGACAATTTGAATAATCACAAACTAGAATTTCAAGAAATATAAAACAAAAAATATTTGTATATAACAAGTTTAGGAWTGTTAATTTCCCCCGCTCCTGCACTGGGGATCAAATCCAGGGCCTTAAGCATGCTTAGCAAGCACTCTACTACTGAGACACATCCCCAGCCCCATTTTCCTTTTTAGTAATTCAACATTACCTTTTGAAAACTAAAATTGTATCCTCAAAAAAAAAAAAAGTATCTGAAACACATTATAAATAAAGATAAACTTTTTTTTTAATTGAGAGAGTTGTTTGTTTTTTTTTTTTTAAGTTGCTGATGATTACACTAAATTGCTAAGCTGGCCTTAAACTTGTAACCCTCCTGCCTCAGCCTCCTGAGTCACTAAAATTACAGGCATATACTAGCACTACACCTAGCTTAATTTTTCTTWATTTTTCAAAAACCCTTGTCCAGGAACGTGATAACATTTTTATTGTAGAATGCTGATAGTTGAGTAAGATACTGCATTTCTTGCTGAAATCAATTCTTTACATTCCAAATAAAAAGTATTTAAATATAGGTTGGAAATGTCTGCATATTGAGCAATATTTATACATACATGAATAACATCATTGTTTATGCAAACTGTTTTCTTTTTTTTATTTCCTAAATTTAACCAGGTTGAATTTCTTTTTCAAAAAATGATCTGTTGGTAAGATATAACTTGAAAACACACTACTTTTTTCCTCCTTAAAGAATAAAAGATAAGCAACACAGTAACAGTTGATGCTGGATGTTTAATTCCCTGTTGCACACTGCCACCTAGCAGAAAGCTAGCAAATGAAGAGTTATTGTAGCCATTTCAAAATATGCACAAACCTTAATGATCACCTAATGCTACAACTTTGCCTCTGCCTTAGAGGCAGGAGGAGAAAGTTCTAAGACTGAGGCTAGGATGCTGTCTATATTGGTGGCTTGGAAACTTTAGTGTGCTAATACCTGGACTGCTTATTCAATGCAGATGGCCAGGCCCCACCTGAAAGACCTCTGTTGGAGACCATGGTGGACTGTGGGAAAACAAGGCCCTAGTTTGCAGAGTGAAATCACCAACAAGCCCACAATTGGTCATAAGCTTCTGCAGAAGGGAGGATCTCATTTGAGAGAAGGGAGGATGTATGGAGGCATTGAGGTCCTGACAACCGATTATCCTTATTCAAAATTGTACCCAACCAGAGTTGCATGTATTCTACAAATAAAATGAACAATCCAAGTCACCTCAAGCATAAAATATTCTACCCAACATTTCTTGGTACTGTGGCAGTAAGTGGGAGTAACCTCTTGGAGCTTCAATGTTAAGAAATACAGTAGTTTGCCACAGCATTTCCTAAGTATTAAAGAATTATTAAAAGATCCCAAGACTGGTGTGGTGGTGCATGCTTGTCAAATCCCAGCCATTTGAGAGACTGAGGCAGGAGGATCTCAAGTTTGAGGACTGCTTGGGCAATTTAGCATGACTCTGTCTCAAAATAAAAAATAAAAATAAAAAGGGCAGGGGATGTAGCTCAGTAGTAAAGCAACCCTGGATTCAAATCCCAGTATGGGTGGTGGAAGGATCCCAAGGAAATGTCTTAAAATCACAGCAGTATTCTATGTCTTACATAAAATATAGAAAATAGCTCTAAGGGAGCTAACTGGGTACAAAAACACCTTTCAAAGTGGCTTGCACGTGGAAAACCAAAGCCTGCAGTCTGGGGGCTCTCCTAAGGTATTTTCTGTAATATATACACAAGAATCTCCACAGCTGGAAAGTCAGGATTGCTGCTAGTTCCGCACGAAATTCTAGCAACAAGTGATTCTCAGTGAAGACCCAAGTGCACTGAAGCCATGCACAATACACAAGCAAAGTTAGRGGAAGCAGATGGTGGCAGGCAGGGGGAGGAACGCGAGGTCCCCGGCGCCAGAGGCGCAGCGAGCGCAGCAGCAGAACCGCGCGCTCCTCCTCTGGGCTCCCGGTGATACCCACSGCCTGTCATCAGCCTCCCACTTGTGCCATCTCAGCAGCCGGATCAGCTTAAATCTCAGGCCGTGGCTCTGGAAAGATCTGCCCAAGGTTTCTGTTCTCAAACAGACGGAGACTCTTAGTGCACAACTCGGTCTCCTAACACTCATACTCTTCTTGGCATAGAGAGATTCTCTTCAACTGTGGCTCCAGCAGGCGCGTCCCAGTTTCCAAAGGCAACAGAAAAGTCTCTTTTCTGTTCTCTACATCACGCCCCTGTCCCCACCAGGCTATTACCCAAACTAGAGAAGACCCACAGTTCCACACTCACCGCGCCGCAGCCTAGGAGGACAGCTCAACGGATTCCAGCAGGCTGCTTTTCACTTTCAGTTTGCGCCCCCTCTTGGCCTGGGGGAAGACCGGGAAAGATTGCCGGAATGGACTGCGTTGAGGATGAGAGATCCTGGATCCAGGTTTTCACTAATGCCTTATGGCGGGGAGTGGGGGGGGGGGCTTGCTTCAGAGAACATGGATCCTCTCCTCTCTGGCGTGTCCCAGCGCAATCTGCCCTAGGACTCAGTTCTTCTTGAAAGTTTTGGAAAGTTCTTCATGAAAGCCTTCTAGAAAGGAAGGCTCCTGAGGCCCTCTTAAGTCACAGGAAACTCTTCTTCTCAAACTATACAAGTACTAAAGTTCAAAGTTAGCTATTTAGGAAAATTGTGAGTCTTTTTGTTTGTTTGTTTGTTTTTTGGTTTTTTGTTTTGTTTTGTTTTGTTTTGTTTTGTTTTTTGCTAATCCAATTCTGAGATCCTTTCATCAGTTTCCTGGGTGTTTGGTAGAGTGAACTTTAGTAGGATCGTTTAGTTTGGTATTACTGGTTGGTGTAGACTAAATGTTTGTGTCCTAGTGCAGTGGTGTGGGGAGGGGAACCATCAGGGACGTGATTTGGTCAGGAGGGCAGAGTCTGACAGAGATGGCAGGGGGGTCCTACCATCACCTGAGGAAATCTACCTGAGCTTCCATCTTGGACTGCCCAGTCTCCAAGTCGTCACTTCAGTTGCTTATAAGGCACCCAGTCTAAGGTATTTTGTTATAGCAGCCACATGGACTACAGTACTGCTAAAGGAAAACTGATACTGAGAATCCAATCCAGATAAACCAATTAAAAATATTCTGCCTTAGTCCAGGTGGTGATCAACCTAAGGACATAATTTAAGACTTTGGAGAGAGCTGGAGTTGTTAATGGAGCTCTAGGCTAGAAGCCTGACATGGGGGATTCCAATGAATCAACCCCCACCCCACCCCACCCCCCAAAAAAAAGAAAGAAAGAAAAGGTGATGGTGAAAAGCAGGAAAATAACTTTAATCAATATGGCCATATTTGGAAGGCAAAGTAAGATCCAGCATTTCAGCCCTTTGTGTGGATAAATGAGCTTTAGATTCAAATACAGGAAGAATTGGAACACGGGCAAGGGTACACAAAATTAAGCTGACTTGATCCAACTGTGGTCTGATTGATCATTATTTCAGTTCTGGTTCTGGGAGTAGCTCTGGAGAAGTCCTTATTGCTTGTGGGTGTAAGAGGCAATTTCCACTTGCAGTTCCCAATGTTTATCAACCAGACATGTGATCATGGAAAGGGGTAATTCAGTTCCCATGAAGCTATTGCTTCTGTTTAGGAGGGCAGTCACTGCAAATCTTGGGTGCAGCTGCAGGACCCAGATATGTTGTCCTAGGTCTGCCTTATCCTAGTCCTGACCCTGCAGAGCTCCCATGCCAAGCACCTCAATTAACTTCTCTGCAAAAATGGTTAGCTAATAATACTGTCCACTTCTAGAAAAATCAAACTCAAAAGATTGAAAATTGAGTATATTAAAAGTAATGAGTTCTAGGGATTGGAGGTGGTAGGGCATGTGCAGAGAATATGCAAGACCCTGGATTCAATCCCCAGAAACAAAATGAAAAAAGTAAGAAATTCTGTTCATGAAAGACACCATTAGAAAGTGGGAAAATGATAGATAAGAGATACTTCTGTATTAGTTTTTCATCACTATTACCAAACTACCTGATATGAACAACTTAAAGGAGGAAATATTTGTTTTGGCTTAGTTTTAGAAGTTTCACCCCATGGTGAGCCAGTTCTATAGCTCTGAGCCTGAGGTGAGACAGAACATCATGGCAGAAGGGTGGTAAAAGAAAGCTGCTCAGCTCATGGCAGCCAGGAAGGGGGGGGGGGTACACAAGACATAATCCCTAAGAGCACATCCTGGATGACCCACTTCCTCTAGTCATGCCCCACCTGCCAACAGTTTCTACCACCTCCCAGTAGTCCATTCAGCTATCACAGGATTAATCCACTGATAAGGATAGTCTCTCAGGATTCCATCATATCCTCAAAATCCTAACCCTGGATATTGCTGCATTGGGTACCAGGTCTTCAACTCATGAGCCTTTGGGAGACATTCCAGATTCATAACGTTTTCAATAGATAGTATCTAACAAAGAGTTAATACTCAGAACATGTCAAGAATTCCTACAACACAATAAGAAAGACAAGCAGTCAAGGAGGAGGGGGGGGAGAAAGAAAGAAAGAAAGAAAGAGAGAAAGAAAAGCAATCAAAAAAATATAGCACTTCACCAAGAAGGAATCTAAATAGCCAATAAGTATGTGAAAAGATGCTTAACTTCTTTATTCATCAAGGAAATGCAAGTGAGCACAATAAAGTACTACTAACACCCACCAAAATGGTTACGAATTTTAAAATTGACAATACCAAGTGAAGGAGAAGCTGTGGAGCACATGGAGCAAGAAACTAAGAAACTCAAGAATTATTGGTGGAGGAATAATTGTGACAGCCACTTTGGAAAATTGCCTATTGATATCTACTAGACCTAAATGTATACATGCTTTATGACCCAGAAATTCCCATAAAATATGCCTAATACATGTATATGAATCAAAAGACATGTATAAAGACACTAGGCAGTAAAATATACCTTAACAAATTTAAAGTAATAGATATCACATAAAGCAAACTTTCAGACAACAACGGAATTAAACAAGAAATCAATAACTGGAAGAACCCCAAATATGTGGAGATTAAACAGCACACTTCTATACAATACATGGATCAGAGAAGAAAACTCAAGCCAGCTTTGTAACAAGGTTGGCTGCAAAGTGTGACAGAAATAACAGGGTGCCAATTCCAAGCCTAAGCCTAAATGTCCTTGCATAACTCAACTTCTGTAGCTTGGTACTCTACCTAGCCCCATAAGAACATCCCCAAAATAACTAGCTGAAAATTGCTTACTATTTTGCCCCTGGCAAAAACCTACCAATTCTAAGGCATATGAGGGCACTCTAGATCAAGCAGCTGCAGGCCTTTCCACCAGCTGACTGCAGATTCTTGAGCAAGTCCAAGGTCAGCAGAACCACCCACCTGACTTAAAAAAAAAAAAAAAAGGTGAGCAATAATAAATGCTTACTGTTTTACACCTCTGAGTTTTAGAGTGCTTAGTCTGTTTTCTTTTTCTATGACAGAATACTTCAGACTGAATAATTTCTAAAAAAAAAAAAAAAAAACCTTAGTTTATTCAGCTCACATCTGGTGACTGGGAAGGTCACGGTATGATATCTGCTGAGGGTGTTCTTGCTGCATCAAAATTAACCAATAATCCCATCATGCTTCCCCTCATGGACTCATCTAAAAAGCTCTACCTCCAAATATCATCAACATATGAATTTAAGGGTTAAGTGTCTAACACATAAATTCTTAGGAGACACAGTCAAATCTGATATAGTGACATATTCATACATATAGATATCAATGTATAGGAATATATGTATTCAAAGTCTAATAAAGATATGTTACACAGCAATACCTAACCAATATAGAAATTGGCATCTAGAAGTGGCTGCTGCTTTAATAGAACTTTAAAATATATAGCACTGGCTTTGGGACCAGGTGGTGGGCAAAGACTGAAAAACAGTGAGAATGTATCTACTTGACGGCTTTACGCAGTTACCACCTATTGCCAAGGGTTCTACTACAGATGCAAGAAAAACATGTCCTCACATTTTCTGTGGGTCTGATTATGGTAATGAAGATTGAATGGGGGAAATACAGGAGAAATATATAACAAAGGGGAAAACATGGAGAGACAATTTTTGCCACTCAGAAATAACCTTGTAAATAGTGAAGAATCTGTTTTGTTGTTGCTGTTATTTGATTTTGGTTTTGGTAGTGCTAGGAATAGTGCAGTTTAGCTTTACCAATAAGCTGCATGTTTTAATCCAAACAAGAATCTAAACTTTTAGTATTTTTTGAGCAACAAGGAAACTACTATAGCAAACTGGAAAAACAATGGCATATATTATGCAGCGGTGAAATATTTGCTTAAACTACTACCTATAGCAACTTGCAACAATTAAAACATTCCCAGTGAACTTTTACATCTTGATAAAAAAAATAATTTCCAGGCAGAATGCTGAATGTGTTCGTTGGTATCTTTTAGCTGTATATTATGAGAACTGTAGAAAGGGAAAAGGGAGACCAAAATTTAGCAAATTTGAAAAAATGTCTGGTTCTCATCTCCTGTCTCCAAATCAGTAAAGTATCCTCAGGTAAGGTTGGAAGGTTATTTTATTAAGACCTCTAGAAAAGACTAAGTGAGCCCATAGTAGATCTTTTCAGTTAAACAAAACAGGCAGTAGGAATAATAAGGATATTTTACCAAGTTTGGCGTGCCCAAGGTAGTCACAATTAAATCTGAAGAGAGAAGTTTGTCTGAAAAGAATTTTTTCATATGATTTTTATCTAATGGAGTGGACTTCAATCAGATGTTACATAGAATACTCATAAATATTTTAAAAATTTTTTACCTAGTAAAAATTTTTTTCCCAACTTGAACTAAACATGCTGAAATTGTGCCAATTCATAAAATGTTTCTAAGATCCAAGCTCCTATAGGCAGGATATGAACTGAGAAGAGTGCTCAGCTACCAACAGGAACCAAGTCTTCATAAGTAGCCAAGGAGGATGATGGCAAAGAGAGACGCTTCCAATGGTTGAACTAAGAGCTTTGGAGGACAAAGAAGCAGGAAGCAGAACTTGGCCCCAACCAAGGAGCATCTGCTACTCCTTCCAGGACCTGGCAACACTTGCTGGGTGGGATTTCGGTAAGAAATGGACCAGAAAATTTTGTGTACTTACTGCTAGGTACTCACAACTCTAATTAAATATCTAGTAAGAAAATAAAAATGAATGTGTCCAAAATCAACTCCTTGGCTCCTTTAATATTTGCCTCTCCTCAATCTTTCCTATCTTGTGAAGATACTTCACTTCATCCAGTGGCTCAAGCCAAAATCCTCTTAGTCATCCTT